GGCACAGGAACCCAGAGTCAGGACTTCCACATATCTTTTTAGGGGGTACAGCGCACTACACCATCCGTCGGTAGATCTTTCCTGAAGCTGTTTTTACTGTGGTACCAGCTCTGGTTGGTGCCTGTGTCCTTTCAATATGGCTCCATTTTCTTTATTTCTCCCACCCTTCTTTTATTCCTTCCTTTCTCCAGTCCCCCCTTCCTCCTTCCCTTCCTCTTTTCCATTCCCTCTTTTGCTTTCTTATTTTCCGAGACCACCAGATATTCCAGGCTCATCTCATCTTGTGTTTTCCTTGCCTCAGCCCTGGAATCAACTGCGAATCAAGGAGCCCTGGTTCCTTTTATTGGAAGATGGTGTTTAGAAATAAAGATCAGGGCACTAGGTATGCTCATTGGTGCCGGGGCCTCGCTGCTTCCAGGCTCCCCATATGTGTAAACACACACACACACATACACATACATACACACACTCACTCACTCATACTCATACACACATACACTACTAAGCAGTGTGTGTACACGCATTTTCATTTATTCTGTGTGCATCTTTAAAACAGAAGCATGAGTCCAGACCGATAGCTCTGACCCCCATCTAGCTCCACGGGGCTCATGCTAATCTTCCCACTTTCCTTATTTGTAACCTTTTTCTCCTATGGTCAAGAAACATGGCTCTTATTATCTATAATTTTTTATGTATTTGCTCAACCGTAGCATACATATAAAGTAGTTGAAATATATACCCTTGGGAGAAACAAATTTACCAACTAGTGTTTTGTTCAGTTCTTTTAGTTTTTAGCCTTAGAGTAAAACCAGTCAAAGCCCTGCTTGCCCGTTATTTAGGTCAGCTGTTTTGTTCCCCACCCCTTCAGCGTGGTTATGTGATTCAGTTTTAACACAGTCATTTGTCATCATCTGCATTCCATCTTTCCTTCATATCCTGGTTAAAATTTTTTCAATTTACATACAGCAAACTTCACCCTTTGTGGTGCCTCGTTGGACTTTGCTTGTGAATTTTCTTTTTGCCTTGAAAACAAGATGATTAATAACAGCTAATGCTAAGGAAGTGGAAGAGCCGATTTTATAATTTTTCGTTCATGAAAATGAAGACAGAATGTTTGCACGAGGGAAATCATCCCAACTCCCAAGTTTATAGTCAAAATGAGTCACCGAGGGTGACAGTTTTTATTCTTAATGAATCAACCTTTTGACATCTCTAGTACAAGCGTAATGCAGAATGGGTGGGGCTGAGTCCCTATTTTGCTTTGGTGTCTTTCTCAGCTTGTTAGGGAAGCAGTGAGCCATTGACCTGCTGTGGTCGTGTAGCACCTGCAGCCATTCCGTTCTACATGGAGACAAAACACCAGACTTGCAACACTGGCCTGAAGGGTTAGTTCAGCTTCTGCATTTCCTTCCCAAATCTATCTTGACATCTGAGCTCTTTCTTCCCCTCTCACGGAGGACAGTGGAATATGGGAGCTAGTAAGCGAGGTCTCAGGCTTCAGTGCTGTTTCCAGAGGGCTTGGTTGTAGTCAAAGGGGACTGTGTTTTACACCTAAGGTCTTGGCCAATTCTTGGGGACTCTGACCTTTTGTCTGTGGGGCAGGTTGATTCTACCCAGGGCTTCCTTTGTTAATTCTTCACCTTTCCAGGGCCGGTCTTCAGAACTGTTCGCAGATTTCCCTGGGGGTCCTTCATTGTAGCTCCAAATACCTGGAAGGACACTTAACAATTCGTCTCTTGCACTCTGTGTCAAGATTTCCCTGGGGGTCCTTCATTGTAGCTTCAAATACCTGTAAGGACACTTAACGATTCGTCTCTTGCACTCTGTGTCGTTCCAGCTGGTGTCGCTGTCCACGCGATTCAGCTGGTTTCCAGACGTGCGGTAGTCCGCCTCCCAGAGCTGGCACTTACTCCCTCTGCTGGCCGAATGAGAGAACTGCACGGAACACGGCTTGGCCGTTTGGTGTGGTGCTGTATCTAATTTCAGAACCTGGCGCTCAGAAAGTGATCATGATTATTTGCTGAGTGAATAAATAAACAAAAGTCCACCTTTAAAAACAAAAGAATATTATAAGCTATTTTATGGGAGTAAAAATTCAAGTTTGGGTTCTTCCTAACCCATTTTCTGACCCTGGCAGTTTTTAATTTTTTCTCATCAGAAACCCAAGTTTCTTAACTGGGAGCTTGCGACCCTACAGGTGTTACCAGGGATGCCAGTAGAAACGATTGAGCTCCATTTTGAGGAAACCCCATGCCCTGAATCCTGTCATAGAAGTGACGTGACTATGAGAAGCAGTATGGTCCTTAAGCAGTAGCCCAGCCTTTGCTTTTGAGTTTGAATACTGGCTGCCACTCACTTCTGTGTGATATTGGGAAAATTCCTTTATCTTTCTGAACTACAATGTCCTTATCTCAAAGACGACCTATCTCACCGAGATTTTAAGGGTGAGAAAAGTTATCTGCCTGCCATATTCTGCATGGCTACCCGACCCAGGGCACCGCCATTGTCAACAGCCTTACTTAGTAACTTGGTACAGGGTCTGCGTGCCCCTCCACAGCTGATCAAGATGGCCTGTGAAGTAGCCCCGCACATATAGCTTTGTCCAGGGGTTGAGTCGAGCCAGTAATTTCTTGCTTGGAAGCCGAACCATGGTTAGAGTCCAAAGCTTCATGGAAGAGCCGCGGAGGGGAGGAGGGTCAGAGTGTTGAGGAGGCAGAGGCATAGGGGTAGAAAAAGGACTTGAGAATGAAGAGGCAGTGCGTGCCGGGGACAGCTGAGAGTCCATCAGCTCAGCACCTCTCCCTTCTGGATATGATGCCTACTTCCTTTGGAGAACTCTTCCACCCTCTTAGAACCCAGCCACATGCCTTGCTCCCCTGACTGCAGCTAGACACGACTGAGGTGGCACATTACCCACCTGTGACCTTGCCCAGTGGAGCCCCGACCTGGGACGTTTGCCAGCTGGGGCTGGAGAAAGTGGTTTCTCTCTCTGGTGGCTAAAGCAACAGGCTCAGGACTGGTGGGGCCATGTTTCCTGCCACGTAGAGGAAGCCGTTTGAAGAAAGGAAGGGAACACGCCGAGGGAAGAGAGGCAGTTCTGGTTGCTTTCATGCCCCAGGCTTCCTGAGGCTCAGCTGCCCTTCTTGGTTTCATAACATTCCAAGGACATTCCTCTTTTGTCCTACTTAGTTTGGGTTGAGTTTCTGTCACTTGCAGCAACAACAACAAAACCCCATGACTAATGCAGTGATTCGCAGAAAAGAAGATACACAAGGAGTTACAGAGCCGCATGGGTAGTGATGCCCTGGCTTCAGCCCTACAGCTGGGATCACCGCAGCCGCCTTGGATCTGTAGCCAGGGGGCCTAGCCATGGCGGGGCTTCTGTTCTGAGACACTCTTGCATACCTTCTCCCCTTCATTGCCTCAGATAACCTCCCTTCCATCATCTTTCCTTAATTTGCCATAAGCCTCATGATTATCCCATGAGAGCATAGCTTTGACATTCAGGTGCCATTGGCCATCCGTGACCTTAAATTCTTTGAAGCTCCATCTTCTAACTATAGAGTCAAGATATTATGTGCCTCTTAGGGTGGGTGTGAGGATCGTATGAATTTGGGCATGTAATGCACTTAGCACAGAACTGGGGACTGTCAGGGCTCATTCAGTGTGCTGTCTCAGAGCTGCCAAGTTCTGACTGTCTTTTGTAAAAGAAATGATAGAATGATGGGAGTTTGGCCATTTGAGAGTCAGTGTTTGATGTTTCTGCTACATTCACATTGCTTAACATTAGAAGATGGACCTGGGGTAGGGGTGGGGGAAACAGGTACAAGAGAGAACTGTAA